CCCGAACATACCACACCGCAACAGGAGGAAAGTCCTTCAACGCCTGAATCGACGAACTCGTCGAGTGCTGGAATGGCTCCAGTCGGTAGCAGAAAGGGCAGTCCTCGGTGGCCGGTCAGCTGGCAGGGTGCTGGCAGGGTGCTGGCGCCGGGTTCAGACGATGCAACGAACATCCGCAGAGAGATCAGGTAGCAGGACATCAGCATGTGGTGAGACCAAAGGAGGTCAAAGCAGCTAGGGTGAGGAGGCGATGTCGACCAGTAAGAGAGGCAAAATAATCTACAACAACTACAGAATCTCCGATGTTCTCATCGAAAGGGTCTCGGAGTAGGCTTAAGGCAAGGCAACTCAACTAGCCAGCTTTCACTACTTCTGGGCAAATCAAATACACCTCATGGAGCCATGGGTCAAACATGGCACACTGGGTGAAACCTAGTCCACCAGACCATGATGTTGAAACATGAAGAGTTCCCACGGTGAGTGATTAAGTTAAATCCCTTTTGGAATTTGAAACCTAAGAAACTGCTGCCGAATGACCGCAAATGACCAGAGAAAAGGCAGAGCGGGCTGCCAGCTCAGCACATTCAGCAAATCGAGGATTGTGCTCCTCGGGCTCTGAGCCAGTTGTCTCACTAGAGAATCTCTTCAAAGACCTTCAAGGTGATGCTCTGTCATGAATCATCTTGCAAGATTTCACAACAGCTGTGCTACTACAAGTCCACGTACGTGCAACGCGAGTGAAATCTGGCAATTTGAACGACACCCAACATGAACAGTGCCATCAAGGCTCGGAAAGCAGGCACCTCGGCGAGTGAACTCTCACAGCTGACTGTCTGGGACCCTCTGGGACCCTCGGCACCTTTGCACCAATTCGCGACAGCATCCCACTGGCCACCCTCTGCCTCTTGCGACCTCGGTGCTTCCGGTGCCAACAACTTACTGCACCTATGGATGTCCACTCACGAAAAAGATCCTATTCCTTGGAAGTTCTCTTCAAACCTGTCTTTCGGCATTGAGGGCAAAGCTGGTCTGACCAAAGGGAAGCTGTCCTCGCCGAGGTTCAAGTGGCTGAGTCCCACGCTCATCACCTGTCCCACAACTCGTTCTTGTGCCACTGATGACCAAAAAGAAATGCACCTTGTATTGTAGCAAGGACGCAATTAGGTGGAGGCCATCGCAAGTAGGTTGGAGGCCATCGCTACGAACGTAACAAGAAGCTACTAGTCACAAAAGGCATATCTACTAGGAGCAAGGATGCTACTAGGGGCTCCTGGCCTTACTACTAGTAACAAAAAGCTACTAGTGCACCAAACATCAGCCCGAGAGGTGCATCTCCGGCCTTCGTTCACCCCATGGCGACATTGGACGACGGACCGACATGACGGCGACCGCACGACCCGCACATGGCATTTGGATGTCCGGAGTTGGTGGGCTTCACTTGTTCGCATCGAAGAAAGGAAGATAACCGATGACCACTGAAACCACGCCGATGAGGCAGCCGTCTTTATGTGTTTGCTTGGTCAACTCAAAAACCAAAGTGTTTCAGAGTCTAAAAGCGATCGGAGATACGAATGCAACCACATTGAGTCACTCATGTAGCGGATCATTAAAGGTGATGTTTTGGGCCTCTGCCCTAAGTCTCTAAGTCATTCCGCAAGCTGATCGAGCCACAAGTCATGACGGCACCGGTCGTCCAACAGCGCTGCACATGATTTGGCAATCAGAATCTGTGTTGATTGTCTTTGAAGAGTGGGACACGAGCAAAACCAATGGTGCCATGAGCGAATGGCCTCCTCTTCGGCACAAGCACCTCAAGACTCGGCACGGAGCCTCAAGGCCTCTTGTAGCCATTCTTGGAGGGTCAAACTGGACGTCAGAAACCCAACAAAGACATCATTCGGATGGTTAAGACCGAAATCTTTCCCCTTATGACCTGTCCAGCTCGCTGCTGCGAACGTCCAAATGATGTTCCAAGAGCTCCGAAAATGAACGCAACAGTCTACCGTCTACCATGCCTTTGCCGGAGGACTACACTTGTACCCGGATCTTGACCACACAGACCTTCGACACCGCTGAGCTGCACACACAGAGTCCAAAGCTTCTCGAGCGCCAAGGACCAACGTCCAGAGATACCGCCAGCCTGACACTTCGGACGTTGGTCCTGACCCCCAGGAATCCCTTCCGTCTCAAAAGACCCCGCAGTGTTCTGCCCCAAAGCCTTAGGTCGGGGTGCCCCCCCCTGTCATGTCCGGGCCCCCGGGTCGGCCGGGTCGTGGTTGGTCGTCTCTCAGTGGGTATCGATGGAAGCCGGCTGGACTGAAGCACTGTCTAGAGTCTATAGACAAGGTCAAAGGATGTCAAGAGTCAAAGGCTGAGCCTCTCCGCATTTTTCTTCGAAGCTTCGGTATCAAATCGGACGTTGAGGCTCAGGCGGTCAAGAGGATCTCATTGGCAAATTTGTTCAGCCTCAGTCTGACTTGGCGCATTGTTTGCCCTGTGCCTTTGAGCCATACCGGCCTCGCTCACTGCTCCGTCTTTGCAATTCCAAAGGCAACCCGCTGCTTGCCTTGCTTGCCCTTTTAGCTTGCTTCACTCCCAAATCCCTTTATGACTTTGTCTAGGCTCTTGCTTCGACACCATGTCACAGGGTTCTGCCTTCATCTCCGGTAAGCTCTTGAAGCCCAGGGACCCAGGAGCCAAAAAGATCAAAGATTCCGCCCTCCATGAGACGAGGCGGTGGGTGACTCCGTTACCAGGTAACCACGGACGGGACGGAGAGAGGTTCATTGATCCTAGGCTGAGATGGCCATTCCAATCATGACATTCATCTGAGCTCATCACGTGATCCCCTCCTTCTGGAACTGATCTGAAAGATCCACTGCCAACTGCCATTGCCCAGCCCTCTCCTTAGCGACGATCTCAAGCACAGTATCCCGCGATCTCAAGAACATGTTTGAGAAAAAAGCATCGACAAAAACATGCAGTTGTCTTAAACTAACAGAGAAACCCGAAACCCTGAAAAACGTGCAGGTGTCATTGTCCTCACACGCGACGGTGTCTCAGCCAGTGGACACAACATCGCATTGCGGCATTGAAGCCCAGGATCTGCAAACGCAGCGCGCCTCGACGGGCACCTGCAAAAGTGAAGAGCCGTGTTAGACCTCGTACCGTTGACCAGGGAACAAGTGTTAGTCCTCTCAAAAAAAAACACACCTTGGTTGTCCGACAACAATGACTGGCTTGAACACAACCAGCTAACTCACGGTCTAGCCAGATTTCATGTAGAGATAAAGGTGTGAACTGCCTTTTGATCATAGCGCATGATACAAAACTTGCATTGTCACAAGCATCACGAACACCAGCTCTGGCAAGGAATTTGTCTGCCACTCCGGTTGTTCCACCAAACCAGGACAAATCCCACACCCAAGTCATATTACAGTAACAAGTCTTGCAGTGATCCAAATTTTACTTTTCAACTTGAAGAGATCCCATTCTTGGAAGACGCTTGTGTCCCACCTTCCAGCAAGGCCAAAGCTTGTTGCCAGTCTCTGCCACAGGCCGCAATGGCCTGACGCAATTTGGCATCCTTGGTCGACGCAAAGACATCCAAACCTGACCTTCTGTCTGATTCGCAAGGTTTATAGTGTTTTTGTTTTTGGGTTTCGGTGAATGGAAAGAATGGAAAATGCAGAGATGGCACTCGTCTGGCCATCCACTGCAAGCAGTGAACTTGGGGTGATGATTCAGTGCAGCTGAGTGACAGAGGAGCTTCTGATGAGATTGGCAATTCGGGCATTCCTTTGTTGGCAAAGCGATCAAGCGATATCCAGAGAGGTTTAACACAAAGTTGTCGAAAACAGAATAGGTGAGAGGCTGATTCCTTTTATTTGTATACCTTTCAAGTATTTGAAATCAAGACATTGTCCGACAAATTATTCCATAGTACTTCCATAAGGATATTCATTTCGCATTACCTCACGACTCTGTTGAACAAAAAGCCCATCGCAGCATGGCAGGGCACACACTGAGCTGCTGCCAAGATCCTTCGGTACTTCTGCAGTAAATGTGCCTTTCATCCGAATAGAGCTATATAATTCAAACGTCATGAGAGAGAAAGAGTGCTTTACAAATAAAACCTCTAACGAAGACAGGTCACAAGTTAGCAACATCAGACTTGCCCTGAAAATGTTGCAAAGGGGGTGCAATTCTCGGGTGCATCAATGCGACCAACCCCAACCGTCGCCTCATCAATGCGGCCTGCATCGGTGCATCCAGCGCATTCGCGACAGGGGTGTCCAAAAACAATCAAACCAGGCCGACTGTTTCGTGGGTCAATACAGTAAGTTCTTCTTTCCCGGGGCAACCAAGCCTTGCACACTCCAACAGAACAAAGCTGGTCCGAACTTCCAAACTATGCACACGCAGTGCTCGAGCTGACCAGCGTTTGTTCCACAAAGTGTCATAACCAAACTGAATGACCTCTATATCGAGTGATGTAGTATTTGGATGTATTTGTGTTTACACATATATAATTATGATAGTTCAAAAGCTGCAAGTTGAAACCATTGAAACTAAACCAAAAGCGCTGGCCTGTCTCTGGAGACAGCCCATCTACAACACCAGCCATTGAATCTGGCAGGTATGTCTCGAATCGAAGCCGGTCAGTCCGAGCAAGTCAACAAGTCCACCAGCTCACACTGGAGCCTAGTTGAGGCAAGAATGCATTCCAAAGTCCACAATTGGTTGTGACAAGCAGAAAACGACAAAAGCAGCAAAGCTGCCTCTCCATCTTGGTCTACTCAAAGTCTAAGGCTTTCCAATGCACGTCGTATGGTTGGTTCACCCGAGCAGGCTTTGCCGTGGCGGATCTCTGACTTCTTCACCTGTTCTGAAGGGAACAAAAGGTGTGTTGGGAATGAAAATTAGTAAACAAGCAGGCAAATAGGCTGCTGTTCAATACAGAATTGGTGACTACAGGGGAGTCAGCAGTCCTGACTTGAGCCAAGGATAAGAGACACATACTGCAAGTTCCAGTCATAAAGCCTTTCTTGCCGTCCATTTTAGCTTTGTAGCTACAGCACCACTTATTCTGCTACCTGATTGATCATTCAATCAATCTTGCAAACCCTTGATTCGCATCTTGCTCAACAACTCCTTCACTGGATACCTCTGATACCTCTCTTTTCTGCTGGAATCAATCCGGCAGCGTCGCCAACCAAACTCTATTGTAGCGCCGGCAAGTCCTCAGGCACATCTTTCTGTGAAATGGGTCTTTGTCACTCTCTGCTCTTACAATTCTCACCGAATCTGAAGCTTGACATCTAAATTGAACCTGAATCCACCTCACATCCGACCAACTCTTCAGACCCGACGAAGATCGGCGACGAAGATCGCCTCCAAAACAGCTTCCGCTGCTCGCTGGCCAGAGCGCATCGCCGAATCCAATGTGGGTTCGGCACAGTGGTCGCCGCAAACGTAGATCCCCGACGCCACTGGCACACGGGGCTGAAGTGTACGAGGCCACTGGGCAGGTTGGTGAAAATCCAAATGATAGACACGCAGCAAGCGCCAAGCATCCAAAGAACCAATACCAAACAAACATCCGAGTTCATGGCGCACCCAACTCTCACCAAATCCTAACTTCTCAGGTCCTCGTACAGTCACAGCAGCCAAATCCCATCCCTTGGGAGCGTACGATGGTTGAACCAGTGATGGAAAGGCAACATTCACAAGTCTGGGCAGATCAGCTTCATCAGGACCCGTCTGTAAAGTGCTGTTCAAGACAATCAGTGGCTCTGAAACCGGTGGCGGAGAGGGCAAAGCGAAGTACCAGGTCGAACTGCGTGTACCCTCATCAGTTTGATCCAGCTCCGGCAAAAAGGCTCTGGCAGCTGGCAGATCCACAGCTAGAACCACTGCGTCAAAATCCTTCCATTCTGCATCAATACGCACTCCTGTTGGACGTACTTCAACAATCGGAGAACATAATCTCACCAACAGATCTTCTGCAAGCTGATCAGCTACAGCTTGCATGCCCCTCTCTGGTAAAGAGGTGCGCCCCTCAGCCAACATGCGCAGAACAAATCTGAAGCAGGCAGAAGATTGCTGTGCCAATGGCGTAACGTATATTGCTTCAAAGAATGGCCGAAGAAAACGATCCACAAGCACTGTTGACAGGCCAAGCTTCCCAAGCATGAAACTCTCAGTATTGGGTGGAGGTGTACCTTGACACTCTTCTAAGGCAGTGTACGGCCCTTCAAAAAAGACTTGTTTGAAGCGCAGCAGTAGCAAGATCAACAAGTCTTTGATCGAAGCAATCCCAGAAGTGATGGTCCTCAAAATGTATTTGGGACTTCTGATAGGATCTGAAACCATACGCAGTTCCCCTTTCCCAAACGCCAGGAAGGCTCCAGGTGCAAAGCTCCGAAGACCCAGCCTCCTGAGACTGGTATTGATGTTGCCAACAAGTGCATCGCTACTAGTAACAAGGGCATTACTACTAGTAACAAAAAGCTACCAGCTACCAGTCAGAAGTCGTACAAGTCGAGTAAGGGTCTTAAAGTCACCGCGGTTTTGACTGCATCACACGACGGCTGTGTCACCAACCTAAAAATTGCCACAAATGAACACTCTGATCAAGCAACTTCAAGTCCAACTGGCGCTTGACTTGAGGGTAAGCTTCAATCAGAATTTGGAAGCCCCTGTCCAGGAGGAAGGTGCCTTGACAATTGAAAAATTGATAAGATTGCATCAAACCAACACAACAGCCGCCGAATAATCAATGCTTTGAATGTTGTGACACTGCATGCTGACATCCTGCCTTCCTCCTTGGCATTTCCTGGCAGGGGAAAGTGGGCTGGGCTTTGTCCCTGCCGTTCATCCGAAAAACAAATGCCCCCTGACTACCCCGCAACACCTTGCAAACTGCACATGTGGCTGCGCACAACAAAAAAGAACATTCAGCTCCTGGCAACTCAACAGTGTCTGTGCGGACTCGACCACCTACGGCATCTGAGGCTTCAAACACTTCCACTTGAATTCCTGCTTGCCGAAGACGGCGTGCACAGACCAAGCCAGCCACTCCGGCCCCAACAACCTGGTGACTATGACGCTTCAAGAAAGGCCGTTGGCCAAAGGGTCAAGTTGTCCACACATTGAAATTTGTTGCAGTTCCCCACTAACTTTATTTTTCAGATCCGAGGATCTGCCACACAGCAACCTCTTGGAGTATTGGAGCTTTTGCCACTGGTTTTCAAAGGGGACCTCATCGAAGGCTTTGATGCTCCCCTGGTAATGGCAATGCTTCTGCCGCGCTGCAACTGGGGACTGATTGTCCAAACATACAATGGAAACACGACCAAGCTTTGCAGCCAGCTCAATATCCAAAGCCAGCGGGATTTACAGCGCATTCAAAAGTTAAGTTTTCAGAAATACGCTGTTTGAACACATAGATTCAAGATCTGATGCCATCAAAACGTGCTTAACCAACCCACATGTCAGTGTACACATCTAAAGAACCTTTTGTTGGTTCATGTCGATTACAAATTACAAGAAACAAGTGTGCTGTGAGCCAGTGGCATCAGAATGCAAAAACATGTTTGGGACCAAGTTGCTTTGGTGAGCCAAAGGGGTCAAAAGCAAACAATGTCACTAAAAATGGTCGAAAAATCAAACTCAACAAAAGTCCTGCACACAAAAACACCTGCCGACAGTGTCCAACATGACATGCCAGCAAAAACGGAATGTATGTATATATATAATACATAACGGGCACTCCTGGCAGCGCAGTTTTCTGGCAAATGTGTGTTCTTTTGGGTGAACATTTGTCAAGAAAACTGCACTGCCAAAAATGGATGTACAACAATTGCATCCAGCAGGCTTTCCAAAAAATAAAACCCTGTTTCAGAGAGTCTTGACTGAACCCCCCCCAGAGGACAAAACTGTGAAAACATGTGTTTGATTGATTTTCTGTTTTGGTATTTGTCCACAGGGTCCAAATGTTTCGACAGAGTGCTCTCCTGGTAGTGTAGGTTTCTTGACAAATTTTGAGTTTTCTCGCAAATGTGTGTTCTTTTGAGTCAACATTTGTCAAGAAAACTGCGCCAGGAAGGCACCCTGTTAAGATTTGCTGAGGCAACTACACTGCGAGGAGGGCACTCTCTTAACCTTTTGTCCAGAAAACTACACTGCCAGGAGTGCACTCTGCAGAAGATTCTGCACTTTGTGGACAATTCTTGAAGAAAACAAGCTAAAACACACCCAAAAAAACATGTTTTCAGAAGTTTGTCCTCTGTGGGAGGGTTCAGTCAAGACTCTCATAACTAAATTTGTTTGTGTTGTCTCAAGGTGTTTGTGTTTTTGTCCCATGGGGCAAGTATTTATGTTTTCCATGATTTTTCAAGTGACAGGTAAATATAAATTGCATGAGACTAATGAAAACATACATCTCTGGGAAATCTACTTTCCCAGAGATCCAGAGGAACGATATAAAAATGAAAGTGTTCAACGATATAAAAATGAAAGTTTTCAAACAAAGTTTTTCAATATAGACGTGATCAGTCCCAGAGATCCGGAGGTAAGTTTGTGAAAAATATGTTTTTATATGTTTATACAAAGTGTTCTAAATATGAATATATTCATGCCCAGAGATTCTTTCTGTTGAAATACACAGTTTCTATATGTAATATTGAAACAATTGATCATTCCCAAAGATCTAGGGGACAGCTCTTGAAATGCACGCGCTTATATTAGGTTTGAAAATAGATGTGAACGATCCAAGAAATCTAGGGAACAACTTTTGGAATAGACACTTACAATGTAGAAGGCGTTTTTATAAAAATATTAAATTTTCAGAAACGAAAAGCGAACCTTTAAAATAATTGTTTATATACATTGTTTTGAAATATGGAAATGATTATTATCAGAGATTTTAAGGAAAAATTTTTGAACAAAAAGGCATTCAAACATAGTTTTTTAATGTGAAAAGAACAATGTCCAAAGATCAAGAGGAAAGCTCTTGAATTTGCAGATTGTTTTTGAAATTTATTTTGCTACAGAAAGTGATCATTCCAGAGATCGAGGGGAAAACTGTTGGCATTGATGTTTTTATACAAAGCCTTCTTAATAAAGAAACTATGATTCCAGATACTATTTGCAATTCTACATGCATTTGAAGTCAATGTTCTTTTAAAATCAATACGAAATTTAATTCGGATCTAAAAACCGTTAATTCAAATCCAATTTTTATAGATTCAAGTCAAGCCTGATTCCAGTTTGTTAAAAATTGAATTTTTAGAAACAATTGTCATTCCAATATGAGTCAACTCTTATTTGCACACTTCAAAGTTGTTTTTTGTTCAAGTCTCACTTTACTTCCAAAGAACAAGTGTTGCTAGGGGTATGAACCTGAAACTAGACGACGGTTGGCCCGAGAGCGAGACATGTAATTGTCCAGCACTGTCGAAAAGATGTATAGAAAGAGAGAAAGAGAGGCTGGATGTGAAGGAGTGACACTGTGATGTGCAGGTGCGATATAGATCTGTAGATGTATGGAGGTGGAGAGGTAGATCTGTGGATGTGAGCGTGCGAAGATGTAAATGCACAGAGACGAGAGAAAAGATATGTATTTTTTTTGCACGAGTCGAGGCGCTGTGTGTGCAGGTTATGCACAAGTCACCTTAAGCTAGTAAAAGAAAGAGAAATGAACCGGCCAACAACGGAAAACGAAGCAACCAAACCAGCCCCCCCCAAACCAAACAAAAGGCAAACAACACAAAAAAACCCACCAGAACAAGGCACGGTTCATATCTCTGAATGGCTGAGTCAGCCTGAAAGTGGTGAAACGGAATACGGCCAGGGGCAATGAATTCTTCCCTTACGCTCAGTACGTCATCATCAGGTTCTTGTGCTTCATTTGCATCGAAGGAGAATCACTGCTCTTTGATTGACAAACTCATCTTCCTTCATGACACAAGGGCGATCGAACAGCCCGCCTTGCTTCAAAAGAGGGACATTGATGCACTGTCGGAAGTGTGCTAAATCAAAATTGTCTGCCGTAGAAGGCATTCAAAGCAGCATTATTCCAGCGTCATACCGCTATCCAGTACTCAAGGTTCCAGAGGAGTGAGGACCCTACGAGACATTCCGACTCAAGGAAAACAGCAGGATCAGTGATCGAAAACTACAAGTTGTCGAAGAACAGACCCCGCGGAGCCATGAAGTCAAGAGAGCGGCGGGACTAGTGAGCATGACGAAGACAGGCTCGATCCCCCAAGCCTCCCCCCCAGTGGGAGGGGGAACAGTAGGGGTGCAACGGCGACTTCAAAAAACAGCTTGGCCATAGGAAGTCCTGGGGAGGCCCACTTTGGCGACCCTGGAATCCACTGCGTTTTTGGCGCTTGGTTTTGGGGCCGTCAATGGACAAGATTTTCCCACGCGTCGTGATCCGCTTGGCCGCTTCACATTGTTCCTGATCAGTCAGCTGGTCTCTGGAAGCCGGGTGTCCCTGACGCAGGGCCGCGCAGGACCAGCTGGAGTGGAAACTGCAGGGAGAGAGCACGGGTCCTGCAATCACGCTGTGGGAGAATGGAACTATTTATAGAATAAAACAGGTTTGCAGGACCACTACGCCGACTTGCTTTTGGATACTAGTGGTCTCCAGTCCGACCTGCTTGTGGTGGAAGCGAGGGGCCCGAGCGGTACCGAGGCGGTACCGCGCATTGTAATCGAGGGCCGGAGCGGTACCGAGGCGGCACCGCGCATTGTAACAGAGGGCCCGAGCGGTACCGAGGCGGTACCGCGCATTGTAATAGAGGGCCCGAGCGGTACCGAGGCGGTACCGCGCATTGTAATAGAGGGCCCGAGCCGTAATGAAGTGGTACCGAGGTGGTATCGCGCACTGTAATAGACGGTCCGACCCAACCCAGATTGTAACCGCAAAAACCCTATATAGTGCGTTGCAAGGGAAAGTTTGAACGTTGACGCTAAGATGGAACCGGGACCCGGGCGGAAGCCTGGCGTAGCTTGCAACAAACATCAAGGACGCGAGCTCAAAACCTCAACAATATCTTTTCAAAACCCAATCCTTCACAACATGCATCAAACAACGACGTCAAATAAAACGAAACAAGGTTTCCTTGCCATAGTGAACGACCAGAGATGGCTCCTGTAAACATACGCAAACATGACAGGCTCCATGGTGCCAAACCTTCGCTTAACATCTCCCCACCCTTCTTTCCTCTCATCCAAAATTAAGACAGACCACAAAATACGAAGAATGGGTTCACAACGTTTGGTCTCAGAGCGCTAGGTCGACTCACGGCAGATGTCCACCACAAGCTTTGCAGCAAACAAACATGCACCAAGCGTGCAAAGCTGCAATCAGACTGCCGAAAAAAGCAGCTGACCATTGATCCGTAAGCTTGATTGCTTTCGATCAAGAACATCATACAGGCCAAACGCTTTCTCCCCAGCAATTCTCAACCCTCACAGGTTTTCCAAACTTTTTGCTCCTTCAAGGGATCGAAAAAAGTGATTTTTCTGGACACCAGTTTTGGGGTCCAAAAACACCAGCAAAAACCGGTCCCGCCACAGAGGGCCTCCCCAGTTCAAGAACATGTGTGGCCATAAATGTTCGCAGGGTGTGGAGAACAAGTGCCTGCGGCGCTGCAAAACCATGGAAAAGCAGCGGCATGGAAAACTTCTGTCGCGCACGTGCAGAAACAATCGAAACTCTTGCTATTTTTCGCCCCGTGACTAAAAATTTTACCGGCAAAACGGCCCCCGTTTTGGTGTCCAGAAACAGACCCCAAAATGGAGGCCACTCATTCAGTCTCAATTTGATTTGCTTGTGTCCGGACGACTTGGTCCCCGTTTTCGTTTCTGGACCCCAAAACGGGGGCCGTTTGTCGGCAATTTTTTTGCCGCCGGGAGAAAAATAGTGCAAGTTTCGATTGTTTCCGCAGGTACGCGACAGAAGTTTTGCACGCCGCTGGGCCACTGGGTTCCCATGGTTTTGCAGCGCCGCGAGCAATTGTTCTCCACGCCCGCGAACGTTTATGCCCACACATGTTCTTGAACTGGGGAGGCCCACTTTGGCGACCCTGGAATCCACTGCGTTTTTGGCGCTTGATTTTGGGGCCGTCAATGGACAAGATTTTCGCACGCGTCGTGATCCGCTTGGCCGCTTCACATTGTTCCTGATCAGTCCGCTGGTCTCCAGTCCGACCTGCTTGTGGTGGAAGTGCGGAAAACCAAAAACCTACGCCTGCGTCTTACGCGTACCTTACACGTCTACGCTTAGCGAGTACGAAGGTTACCCAAAACGCGCGGTCGTTACCACGAGCAACTAACAAGACAGAACACAAAGTTCCACACACGTGTGTACAAGTGTATGTCAAATGTGTATGCACACAAAACAAGTCGCAAGCTTCCACGGCTCTCTTTCCTTCTCGCGGGCTTCCCACGACGTGTCGGTGTCGTGACTGTCTTCTCAACTTTACATCCTCTTGAGCCAAATCAAGAGCGCCGTCAGACGAACAGACGAACTCTTTCGTCCACAAAAACGGTCTTTCAAATTTCTATTCCATCAAAAGTGACTCAAACGTGGGCTTCCATAGATGCCATCAAGCATGCAAAAAGCTCTGGTCTTTTGGCAACCAACCGTGGTGCATTTTGTGGCCTCTAAAGGTGCCACCTATCATGCAAAAAGCCGTGTCCAAACCTTGCGTATCTGAAGGCTTTCGCATGCGCCATCTGGTATGTGGAAAT